ACCACATGGTGCATGTTTTGTTAGCCGGGAGGGGGGGGGGGAAAGGGAAGCAAACCTCGCAACCCTCATCCATAAAGTTTCCACCTCGTAAAAGGAAAAAAAAAAGAGAGTTTGTAATACTACCCAAACATCAAGATCTGCATGCGTTACAACTATGTTCGATTTCTACTACTTACGAGCTACTATATCACTCTTTGAACGTCTTTTTTTCTTTCTTGAAAAGCCCTTACGACTCAAGAAAACGCCCTTTGCCCGTTACACCACCAGCCTACCTTAAACGCCATCCCCCCCCCTCAATCCGCACGCCCCCAAGCTAAACCCCCCTCGGTCTCCCATCCCGCGGCCCGGAAGATGGTTTGACAGGTGGCATATCCCCCCTCCCGTGCCTTCCCGATAATAGCTGAACGGGGGGAACGATACATGTAGACCTGAAACAACATCTTCCACCTCTATTATTAGGCTTTTTTTTTCCCTTTGTTTTGTCGGGGTTGCGCTCGAGGGAAAAGGGTCTGGGGGGGTTAAACGAGACTAAAGACCCTCCCGGCCCCCCGGCGCACCTGCAATGATGGGAGAAAGCGTCGTTAGTTTACCTACTGGGCCTTGGGAGGGGACTGGGTTGCAGGGAAGGCGATGCGAGAATGGCACGTGGCAGGGCGGGAAACGAAGGTGATGAGGGGGCGTGGTAGGTAGACAGGTATGTAAGGGAACGATGTGTTGGCAAAGGGCAGTGGGAAATGGGGGTTCAGTGAGGGTTTTTTTTTGCGGCGCAATAGGCTTGAGGGTGGGTGTGTTCGCTTGCGCGGATGACGGGCTGTTTTTTTGATTTGTTTCTTTGGTTGGTGGTGGTGGTTGGTCACTGCACGAAAAGGCACAGTCATTAGGCAAGTCACGAATGTCCTTTTTTTCTTGTTCGGTTTTTGGTGTGTTTGCGAAAAAAAAAGGCTTTCAGGAGCCGACAGGTCTAGTAAGGCGCCACAGGCCCGTCCCTCGTGCGGACCTGGGGCCTGATGACGTTGGAGGAGATGCAGGTGCATGTGTGTGTGTGTGTGTGTGTGTGGTGGGCTGGGGTGTTTCAGCTCGTGAGGTTATCCGTGGTGGAGGGCTGCGATCAGCAAGCTGCCGGCAGGTTCTCGGCGCGCTTTTTCACGAGAGCGACAGAGCGATAGGACGGGATTTGTATGGGCTGCTCAGGGCGGAGGGCAGCGTGGAGATGCAGGCCGTTGCTTATTCGTGTCCCTGGTCTGGTGCTGGCGGCTGCATTGCATCTTCTAGCGTACTTGTTGCAGGTGAGGGGTGAGACGAAGGCAAAAAAACAAGCTGGTGTCGGGGGCAGAGAGAGTCTGGATTGTCTGTATGGATGGATGTACATGGGTGAATGGTAGGACAGCGGAAAAGAAGAGGCACGTGGGTGTTGTGGTCTCGTATAGGTACGCGGCCTGGCGTAGGCGTGAATGCAATGCCCTAGGAGCACTCGACGCACGCATTGTACTACACACCACGCAGCAGAGTACACGGTACAGTACCGTATACCAACCACTACATACTACATACTACTACCCTACCCATCTCGTGTGGTGGCGAGACGGGTTTCCCCACCCTGCTTTTGGCTCGTCAGCCGTCACGGGCACTAAGGAATGCAACCAAACTCGTTGGGGACAAAGCGTGCGCTCCACCTGCAGACGCTCCTGGCGCCCCCCAAAGGCGCTCCCCTGTGGCCGGTGACCTGAGCGCTGGCGAACCAACGCCGCCCTGGACGTTTGGGACCATGTTCGCCGTCCAGTCTACTTTCCGCCATCTCCGATACACGTCTGAACATTTCCATCGCTTGCGCCGTCCAACTTCCCCTCCCTTCCCCCCCACAATGCCCGGTCCAGCCATGTGTCGTTGCTAGTAGTAGGATCTTCCCTGTGGACGTCGAGCCAACCCACTCCCGCGCCAATTCCCCTTCCTCGCTCGCGCGTCCGTGTACTCTACACGCTGCGACGACGCCTTGGGCCGTGAGACAAGGACGTGAATTGGCTTTGTTGCACCACGCCCCGAGCTGATAGCCACCGCTTGGCCCCTGGGGGCCCGCAAATCTGCCCTTTAATCCTTACATCACCATGGTTCCCTTCCGGCGACCCTCCCAGAAAAGTCGCCCTAGCTTCGAAGACGACGACGACGACTCCTACGCATGGCAAGACGAGCGCGACAAACGCATCATGACGGCCACCTTCCCCATCCACCCCATAGCCTCCATGCAGGCCCCCTTTGAAGAGTCTATGCTCGATGCCACGGGCGAGACTGGCCATGTGCCCTTTGTAGCCCCAAAGAGAGGCGTCAAGACTCGGCAGCAGTTGCTGTGCAGAGACGAGACGGCTCTCGAGCCCTCGTGGAACTTTACCTACAGCTGCTACTGGCGCCAGCACCCAAAGGCAAAGTTCCATGCATTGACAAAAACAATTGCCCAGATCGTCTTCGGTGTCCACCTCTTGCATCAGCATCTCGAAAAATCCGTGGCCGACGTGGCCGACATTCTGCTCAAGCATGTCAACGAGCTCGACAGCTTCCTCCAGCGTGCCAACGACGATCTCGAAAGCAGCATGAAGGACATGCTGTTCCGCCACAAGTGTCTCAAGGTCCCCATGGAGCACGTAAACGAATTCGACCGCCTTCTCGAAGACCGCTCTTATCGCGCCCAGCTGCTTGACGGCAACATCGTAATCGAACGCACCATCGGCCGCATGTCCCAACTACTCAATGATTACCTCGTCGACATCAACGTATTCCGCGAAGCAAACCGGGAGCTGGACGTGTACCTGGCCGATGTTGGAGACGCTTGGACATATCGGAACGAGGACATCGGACGAATATACTCCGCCATGTGCGGAAATACTGGGGGTTGGTCGCAGTTCTTGCAAAGCTTGGTCGCAAAGGCAGAAAGATTAGGCGTTGTGCTGGTACAAGTCAGCAGCTACTGCAATGAGATTGAGAAACGCTGTGGTGCTGCCAGTCGCCGAAGCTTGGTAAGATTGTCCTGCCGTCTCTCAGCATCCTCCCTAGCCTGTCCAAGGTTCGGTTCGGGTTGGTTTTATTCCAGAGTACTGACCTGGTTAGATTGCAACGCGTACCTCATCACGGAACTCGTCCAACTCACGTGAGGGTCGCTCCTTCCGGAATTTTGCCAACAATAAACCTCTCCCCACACCACCTTCTGAACGCCCTCCTTTTCTGAGTGCTACATCTTCTGGCCGGGAGACGCCTTCACGACATACTACCGTAAAATCCAAACCTCAACACCAACCTGAAATCATCGACACATCCGACTCTGCCACCGAGACCCCGAAGCGGAGCCAAGATTCATCCTCGTTGTCAGCCGTTTCCAGTGCTGACGTCCGTGTGCAACGCCAGAAAGATCAGAATGAGTATTACCAGGGGACTTGGTTTGCCGAGGAGGACCGTGGAAGAGTGACGCCGCTGTCAGAGTCCACCAGCACACCCCAGCTTCGAGGAAACCAGGAGAAGCCATCGCAATCCAACATGCACGACGACGAGAAATCTTCGCCAACACGACATACGGACACGAAACCAGATACCGAAGATTCTAGTCCTCCCTTGACCGCCAAGGACTCCGCCTACTCCTCCGTCTCCGACGCATCCGCCATGTCGCCAGCATATGGATCACCCCGCTCAGCCTCATCCATGTCATCACGACAAACCGCCCAATTCGGTCTCTTCCCCACTCGAAACCTCAGCACCCCCAAGGGTTCCATCTCCAGCAACCTCGGCAGTAACAAATCCCCCGTCCTCAGCTCCTCCGACTCCTCCCCCAAACCCGGTGATATCCCCAGCCGCCCTCACACCTCCATGTCCACCTACCAAGAGACCCCTGCCAAGCGCCTGTCCAAGCGGAGTAGCTTTACCTCTCTCAAGCGACTCTTTAGCAAGAAGAAGTCGGGTGATATCGGTCCTATCGCTGAGTAGTGATGATTTTCCTCCACTTTCCTCAGTTTCCTTACTCATTTCTTCGTTATATTTCTGTGCAATTCTTGAAACCTCGTATGGCGTTGCATGGCTATATACCCCACCATTTGAAACCGCGTAACTTGATCGTTTCGTTTGCATTTTCAGATGCTTCTTTGTCGTTCTCTTTTTTTGGTGTGTGTCGCGGTTGGTTAAGTTGGCCGTCTTTGGCAGTCGACTGGAAACTGGACAAGTGTATATATTTTGTATTCTCTCGTTTTGCCATCTTACTTTTATCATGAGCTATGCAGTGTGGGATTCGCCTTGTAGGCTGGTATTGTTGGCGTGGGAGATGCCGTTGCGCCAAAGACTCTTGCGGCTGATAGGATCGACCGTCTTGCCCTGCGAAGAGCAGTCGTTGGTGGTATTCGAGGTCGGCGCTGGTAATGCGCAGTATAATAACTGGTTCGAAACCGTTGCCTGATCAGTGGATCCCGGAAAAAGGAGGCTGGGGATGCTTTTGATGGCCGTGGATGTGTCTGAAGGCGTTATGTTGTAACACACATCTCAAGAGCGCACTACACGCGGCGTAAGTAGAATCAATATCCATAAACACATACGTTACTGGCTTTCTTTCTGTCGCCTCCATTTGTTTCAACTCTTGCAGCTGTTCCTCTCTGCTAGGCGGTCGTGAGGAGAGTGGTTCTGGTCGCGATAGGTGTAGAGGAGGCGCGAGCCTCATTGTCAATATCGTCTTCACCTAGCTATCTCCGCCTCCTCACCCCACCTATCATCACGCACTCAAATCCTCAACACCAAACTCCTTTCCATCGAGATACTGGGCACGATAGGAGAAGTCTTACTGCTCTTTTCTCTCTGGGATACTCTTCTTTTTGTTTACTATCGCCATCTCCTTCTGGCCATACCCATAGCTTGTCCGTCAGTCAACGCAACCCACAAGCAAACAAGAGAAAGCTCAGCATAGCGTCGTTGCTTGTACCTTGCATCATCTCTTTGTCTGTTTTCCCATCAGCATATCTTGCATCTGTTGCAGTACCATGCAGTCCGATCAAGACATCAACGGCGGAGGCGGAGGCGGCAGCAGCGGTGGCACATCGAGGGCCTCCAATGCACCAAATACGAGTCGCACATCAGCAAGAACACCAGACCGAGTGCCCAACTCTAAATTCTTAGCTCCTGTTAGCCGTGGTGTCTATTCCATGCTCCGCACTGAGACGGAAATGGGCAGTGTGGGTGACGTCCTCATGGACGACTCGTCCGGCTTTGACAACACCCCTCGCTAGACATAGCGGCATCATGAGACCAGCATGGTGCCGACAGCCTCCTCAATATGCAACACCTCTAGCATAAACAGCGGGCAGTCTCACGGACATCCCTCGCCGTCTTCCGTACTGCGATACCCAACCGCGTCACACCGTCTGCAGTATGGCACGAACGCTATGCCCCCAACGATGCCGATACTCTCTGGGCCACCGCCACCAGGCACACTGAGAAACCGACACCAAGGCCAGCAACGTTCGCAGTCGATAGCACATGCCATACAGCCTTACAGTGGCTTCTCGAGCAACCCGCCTCTTACAAGTCCGCCCCGCGCTTATATCCCGCAATCCCAGAACTCATACGCACACGTTGGTTCATACGAACCAGGCCCCAAGCCAATGAACCTCAACAGTCGGCTGCTATCACCTGCCTTGAACAACAGTATACCTCTGGGTGTACAAGCTTCGCACAGCTCCGAGGGACAGGGGCCGTCAAATAGTGGCTACTACCAATCCAGCATCAGCTCTGCGCGCCCTTATAGTGATAGAGATCGTCAGACCACCCAACAGGGGCAACAGCATGGTGGTCTTGTTAATCCGCACAACTTGGGAAAAACAAGGAACAGGCGGCCATCTCAGTCATTCTCGTTGGGTTCCGAGGAGAGTCAAAGTCAGAGGGAGTTTCGTTTTCCTCTTCAAGAACGTTCAGGCAAAGAGCAGTCGGAAGGTATGCGCAGTGATGCTTCCCAACTCCATCGTAGTCGCGCGACAAACATACATGATGATCAACACTTCGAAGTTCCACCTTTTCTAGAAAATCATAAACAACGCATTGCGGTTGAACCTGCTCGTTTCAAGAGGTCTGTTTCTGGTTCCATGTCTAGCCGTTCGACGAGATTGCGTGCTGGCTCTGATGCTCCGTCATCCGACTTGAATTTGCCTCGCAGCCCTCAACATGGCACACCCACCAGAACATCTCACAAAGAGAGCGGCATGCAGGTACAAAGGCCCGCTGATATGAGCCACGAAAAGAGCATCGTTTTCGGAAAGAAGGCTCCGGTACGGTACTACGAGTACAGTGAAGAGTTTCATGGCGATGGGCACATTGAGTCAGATGTCAGGTCTATTTCTTCCAATCATGTAGATCATATCTATGCTAAACCTGAGGAACATGGCTCAACTGCAGAACAGGAAGGCCAATCAATACCGATGGTAATCGCATCTTCAGAACAAAGAAGCACCTCAGGGCCCGCAGACATCGCGACAAGTAGAGAAGATCGGAACGAGACATGTACGCCGGAGACAGCGAACCTCGAAGCCTCACCAGCTTCGTCTGTAGCCCCGCGGTTTACGAACAACTGGACACAAAAAGAAGCGGGATTTTCGACAAGAGGCGATACCAAGAGTTTAACTGAATGCCTGGACATGTCAGGGAATGATCAGTCTGTTCAGCCGGACAATCTCCTTAACAAGGAGCAACCTGTACCCAATGAACATGTCGTGGAATCAGTCCATCCAGCAGAGAGCGGGAACAATAGCGGTACCGCTTCATTGCAGACCAGCTTGGGTCTTCATATCCAAGAACCGTCATTGGGTGAACAATCATCCAACTCTTTCAATATACCATCGAAACTATCAGGGCCCTTCGCGCTCGAGCTTCTCAGCGACTATACGGAACTTAAGTCAGCTTCCAGTATACCAATCAACCAAGAGGAATTCCCACTGAATCCAGATTCCCTTTCTTCTCCAGCAATCCAAGTAGCTGCTGTACCTGGTCCGTCCGAAGTCACAAATGCAATCCAAAGAGAAGAGTCTCCCATGGGACGAAGATTCAGATTCCTGATCCCTCAACAGATTGACTCGCACTCTGCACTTGTTGGAAACCCAGGCCCTACCGGATATCAGCACAACCTTGACACCACATGTTCTGGAACTCAATCACCACCACTTGTATATCCCCCTCGAGACCACATTGTTCGCTCCCAGACGACCCATCACCAAGCAGCTGTTACAAGCGACGCCGAGCCAACTTCGCATACAGCATAGTATGGTCATGGCACACCAGCTTCGGTACCATCGACAGGCGTCCAAGGCGACGCCGCAACTAGCCTCCACTTAAGGCATGAACGCAGAAGTTCAGCCAGCAAAGCCTGTACTGAATTCGCCCAATCCCACAGCTTGCCTTCAGCGCACTCCGACTTCGGCGAGCCGAGTGATGATCTAGCTTTGCACCACACTCGCTCCACGGGTGACATCTATCACAAAGCGAACGCGCCGGGTCAGTCTAGGAATGGAAGTGGCAGTACACCTGTATCGACCAGTGACATGCAAGTCTCTCCTTTTCTGCCAGGCAAGCACCGAGAAGTTGAGAGAGTGGACATCGGGACATGGCGCACCGGGTACGCTTCGCCGTTTACAAACTGCTTCAGGCGGCGGAAGCTTACTGCTGCTGCTGCTACTGCATCTACTGATGAGGAAGAGGATTTATGCGTGCGACCCGTGAAGAGAGGGTTGTCTACCAATCCCAGGCTTGTGGCGAGGCTTCCGCGTGGGATGGTTGATCGAGTGGATGGATAAGATGATCTTGCAAAGGATGGGGGTGGTGTGGTGTAGATGAAAACTCATGAGGATGGTTATGAAGTTTGTTTTGGTGATGGTTTTAATGTGAGTGTTGAGAGTGCAGTGACGGAGGAGAAGATAGATTGCGCTTGCATGATATTACTTCCTACCCGCTTGCGCCTTCGTCTCCTACGCTGATGCCTTCCCAAATGCTAGAGTGGGAGGAAACTGCTTCCTGAAATCTTTTTTCCACAACCGAATGTATTCTCTCGGTGTTAACGTGTGAGAATTCATAAGCATTTGTGCGGGAAGCAGTATTTGGGCATTAAACCCAAGACAGCGAAACGATGCTTTGAACCTCCACTTTCTATGCAATTTCTTTTGATTAATATCTTAGTAGTTTTCTAGTAGCCATTCGATACCCAGCGCACTTTTTTCAGCTATCGTAACATGTTACTCAGGACTGTAAAGAATAGCACTATATATTGAAAATGGCTCCTCAAACGCACCACACCGTTACAAGAGCGAAATGTGCTGCGTTGTTATGTAGTGAGTCGTCGTGTTTCTTATTTAAAGGTTTAATAGATCGAAGAGAAAGATTTTTTCTGTTTTCATCAAGTGCCGAGGTATGGTTATTGTCAGAAAATGAGGGCGGAGGGTATAGTGTAGTATCACACGGCAAGCCTGTAGAGACTTCCGGACAACTATTCAGCATAAAGTCCAAGTCGTTTATGGATGAGATCTTGGGTATAATGATTGGCTGTATGAAAATGTGCAATGTGCGACGTCAGCAAGAATACCCGAATGAACGGGCGACATCACTGTGCGGAACGGTTTGGAGTATTGAATCATTTCATTTTCATATTCCCAGCTGCTATAGCTGTCCATTGCCACTTGTCTACTCAGACCCATGACACTTCTCCATATACTCTGCCCAAAAGCAAGCGCTTAAGCAGCGATGGTGACCTCAACCTCGACACCGGCCTCGATGTTGATGATGATCTGCTTGACGACCTCGGTGGGGGCGTGGAGGTCAATGAGACCTATTACAATTGTTAGCCTTGCGCCTGCACATGCCTCAGGTTGTAGTGCTTACGCTTGTGGATGCGCATCTCGTAGGTGTCCCAGGTCTTGGAACCCTCACCGCAAGGGGTCTTGCGGGTGGTGATCTTGAGGTGCTTGGTGGGCAGACGGACGGGACCCTTGACGCGGAGCTCCTTGTTCTTGGCACGGTCGATGAGCTCCTGGCAGACCTTCTCGAGGGACTTGACGTTGCGAGAGGTGAGGGTGATTCGGATCTTGTGGATCTTGGGACCTGCGCTGTGTGTGAGAACGTCGTCGTCGCAAATGTTACATGCGCGGTTCCTTACCCTCACCGAAGTCCTTCTCGGCCTTGTTGTAAGACATCTTGTTGGATTGGAGGTCGGAGTGTTTGTTGTTGTAGGTGCTGAGTGTAGATTCCAGTCACGACCTGGATCCTTGATCTCGGTAATGTGATGACTGGGGCGGCGTTAAAATTGGCGACGGCGTTCGTAGTCGTTGAATTCTCGCGCTTCGACAAAAATCACTTTGTGGGCGGCGACTGCCAAGATTGCGGGCGCTAGTGCCAGATCGGGTATCGCTCCCTTTTGATCGCGCCCCAGGCAGACCCATGAGCCATCATGACTCCATGACTAGGATAAAAACACCCAGATGTGAAATCCATAAAGACTTGCTTCCGACCGTTACGCCGCGCTTGTACTCCCCACTTCTCATTTATCTCCTTCTTCATACGGCCACCCGGAGTAATGTCACTACCCCACTTTGCTCCATTCCCCGATGCAAAAGTCAGAAAGAGCATACTACCCGAGGAATGGCAACTTTATCTCGACTCATGGTCTTCATTGGCTGAGCTATACCTGCGCCTAGGAGATCAACAATTTGTATCAACAATTCAAGAGAAGGATACGCTTACTCCATTTCTGACGTCTTTCTTTCATGAACTGGCCAATGACGACACGTTACCATCTACCGTAGCGTCTTTGCGAAAGAAGGCTTTCTTTCTATCACATCGGCTGCTTTCAAGAGACGACATCCCAAATGCTCTCCTCAGCTGGTCAGCCCTCTCTGATCTCTGCCATGTCTACCCGAAGAGCGAGCAACTTCGCACACTTCTACAGGGTCTGTGGAAGCGAAAGGGCGCAACTATTGAAAAATCACTCCAGACCGCCAAGACATCATTGATCAGAAATCTGGAGTCGAAGCGACCAGAGGAGACCGAGAGCACTCTTGATAGGGTAGCGCCCCTTCTCAGAGCCTCGACTGATGCGAGTCTCTTCATGCTTACCGGATCCGACTTTCTAGATGCTCTTTTGGCAGCGTATCCACGAGTACCCCAGCCCATGCAGAAAAAGCTTGTGACAGTAACATATCTTGGCCTCACAGCAGCGTTGGAAGGCCTTAAACCAAACTACTCGCTTCTTTCCGATCATCTATATAGTCTAAAGTCTAGCGAAGAACAAGAGCAGAAGAAAGAGCCAGGAAAGAAAACACTAGTAGCAGATCTGGTCACAAATACGCCGTTCTTGGAGAAGATCAGAGACAAGGCCACTGCTCCAGAAGCGTCAAGAGTGAAAAATACGGCAGCGACACTCAGTGCTTTCCGTCAATCGGGTATTGCTCGGCCTAAGAAGTTGATACGACGGAAGACGAACAAGGGCAAAGCCAAGGCAACGCAGGATGAGTACGGTCACGGGGCTTTTATCGGAGAGATTCATGTTCACCGGATGAGCATGATTACCCAGATACAAGACCTTTTTCCAGACCTCGGTGCTGGATTTATTGTGAAGTGTTTGTATGAGTACAATGATGATATCGAGCAAGTCACTGCACACCTACTAGAAGAGTCATTACCACCGCATCTTGCCGAAGCGGACCGTAGTGAGAAGTTGTGAGTTCTACTTGTGACAACCACTTTGGACTCGCCATGCTTACAAACTATAGGCCTACTCCCACGACACCATCACAGCCGCTTCCACCTCCCCGATCAAGTCAATACATCCCTGAGCGTCGTAATGTATTCGATGATGATGATTTTGATAAACTTGCTGTCGATACATCCCGCCTTCACATTGGTCGGCGAGGCCAAGACCTCAGCGCTGATAAGATCCTCTCTGACCGCAGCAAGACGCCCGCCAAGTCGTCTATCTGGGCCGCTCTATCAGCCTTTGATTCAGATGACGATGAGCGAGACGACACCTACGATGTTGAAGATGTCGGTGCATCAGTCGATACCGCCGCGCTAGGACCAGGAGAAGACGCTGATCTCGGCGATAAGAACGAGGAGGCTTTGTTCCGCGCATACACCATGACACCCGAGCTATTTGGTCGCGATTCAGACACTAGAAGAGGCAAAGCACGAACTGCTCTCAAGAGCGAGACAGGAATGACGGATGAAGCAATCGAGGGCTGGGGGATAATGATGGGACGAAATCCCAAGCAATTACGGCGTCTCGAGGCGAAATTCTCTACTTTCCAGGGCCAACAGCGAGAACTACAGTCAACGGCATGGAGGGAGAGCCCTGCAGAATCTGGAGATGAAGCTAGTGGCGATGGATCTGGTGGTCGCGGAGGAAGAGGTGGCGGGGGTAGGGGCAGAGGAAGAGGCCGTGGACGAGGCGGAGTGGGTGGCGGTAGAGGCGGTGGTAACGTCGCTGGCCCTAATGATGACAAAGCAACGCAAATCTCGCGGCAGAGAAAGGAAGCGAATAAGGGATCGAGTGCAAATCATAACCGCAAGGCGCAGCGAGGGAAGAAGATGGCTAGAGCAGGCTTTCCAGCTAGCTAGTTCGGGATTGACATTGTTAGCTGTTCTAGACTTTTGCTGTGAGTTCAATCAATCTTGTTGTGCGAAACCATGCTGTGTTCGATAGCCAGTCTTCACACGACCAAGTTTCATGATGCACTGCAATCCTCACCCTGTGCTGGCTGCTGCAGTTCATCGAAGCTCAACATCCATTACTTTTCCGAGATCACCCACATGTTCTTGCTTACGTAGGGAATCTCGGGTCTTTCCGTATCTGCAGCAGTGTATTGATAAGTATATGCATTTCAGCCTCTTTGTACATACTGCTCTAGTATCCTTTTTCCAAGGGCACCCCTCTTAGACAGTCTCTAAAAATATCCTATTCGAAGCACAGCAAAGAGTGATTCGTTTCTTGTCCCCAATTGTGAGGTTGCAGGCTGTGCCCAGCCACGTGATGGGTAATCACGTGAAGTCTTGACTGCAGTCATGTTCTGCACAGCGCCTGACTAGTAGTGGGATGGATTTGTTTTAGCACAACCAGTTTCCTAGCACACAAAAATGGACCTGATTTCCTATTGGCCTGGTCTTACAGTGAGCATCGTCAGTTTGCGTTAGATAGAAAGATGTATTCTTTGGGGCCTGACTACCAGCGCGCAGGGACTTGGGCGCACGCTTTTCTTAATACAGACGTATCGATGCTATTCCATAAAAGATGATAGTTTAAGTGACAAGAGATCAGGGAATCTTTCCATTGGATTACTACTCCATGTAGAATAGAGCAGCAGAAATATATTCATGGTGAGCCTACAGGCTGGGCTCACCACAGACTAGCGTAGAACAAAAGAAATATAAGCACCGAAATCAGCTCGGCAAGCAGTGTTCTCCAACGCGACACAATCTCAATGCATTCCATCAAGCCAGCCGTATGTCAGTATTCCTGGTATCTTAATCATCCTCAGTAGTCTAGTTGATACACATTCAATGGGCCGTTTAGTGTGTACTTATTTTCAGGACGCATGGCATAGTAGGGTATGTTCACTCTTCTAGCCTCGCTTCCTGTACGTCTCAGGTGAACCGTTATTTCATCTGCGTAGGCTATTGATGTGGCCGACGGAAGCAGCCAACTTTATCCTTGCACTGAGACCACTATCTAGCGTACCGTTCACCAGTGTTGACTAGTGAAGGCTGAGACCAGACTATTATGGAGGCTCAGCTCCAGCTGAAATATCCGAGCATTGCGCGGCGGATATAATAATGGTTCGTTTTCATTCATCTCCTCCAGTCTTCCTAACATCTCAATCTAACCTAAATCTATTTTACAAGTCTTTCGCCATGGTCAAGTGCGCCAGTAGATACAATCTGATCGATTCGTCTACGTCGGAGTCACCAACAGAAACTTCAATTGATCTGAAAGACCCTCATGCCAGACCTATAAGCCGCCGCATGCATCATGGCAGGTTGTTTTGGACTGAAATCTGCTGGCGCTTGATGGCTACTCTGGTATTTAGCATTGCTATGACGGCCGTTCTTTACAGTTTCTCATTAAAGGGCGTCCTCGGTCGTTGGGAGAGACGCTGGTTCAGTGCATTGGCCATTTTTCTCTCGTCGCTGGTGAGCCTGAGCACGGGTTCGCTTCTAGGCTTATTAGGCAGCATGATTCGTTGGCCTTTGCTAGCACGTAAGCTCTACACAGCAGTTGATGTAAGGTTATCTTCTATTGCAAACATCTTGTTATGCTGACAACCTAGATTAGGTCGACCTAATTCTAGGCATATCAAATCCAACTGGGGCTGCTAAGCTCATCTGGATTACATACTGTGCACAAAAGAAAGTGGTGTGTTACCACAGTAACCGTTTTGGTCTATTTACTCGCCAATATCATTGGCCGGCTTAGTGTCGCTGCGTTCGGATTGACCTTTGATTTGAACGAAGAACAACGAATAGAGTACCCTACCAGTATAACTAACTGGAACACAAAAGACTGGGTTGGTGACTCTATGCTCTCGAGCGATCACGGATTATCTGATTCTGATATTGGGTTTTACTTTCTTAATGAAAATCTCCGTAAGTCTGAGAGGAGTACTAGATTATATCGGTGAAAGTGCGTGTTTAATAACAAGAACAGAACGTATGAAACGGTACGCAAAAACAGGCCTTGGGATCGTGCCTGACAGCTTCTTCGATTTCAGCAACTCCTCCACTTATAATATGACAAATATAAATGGACAAGGCTTGAATCGTGTGGTTGAGGGAGAATACGTAACTTACTCGTACTATTTGAGAGATTACCGCCGTGAAGAAATTACGAAATCCAATACTAGTGTGGTCCACAGTTCATCCAGGTATTCTGGGGGAACTATGTCGCTACGTGAAAACCAGGAGAGGGTGGTCGATTATCGTAAGCACAATACGACACCGATGCTCCAAATCTACTAACCACAAATCCTTCATTTAGGTGACGTTATAGATACTGCAATATTTGACATTATTCTGAAAACCATTTATATGATGGAAATAGATGTAGAAGATAATATTATATGGATAGCTCCCCTGAATCATTCAGAACTATATGAAGATTCAGCTTGCGCGACAACATGTAAGGGCCACCACCTATCCTATAATTCCTAAATTCTGACAATAGAAACTTCAGATCTTTATGCTGATTCTTACACGGACCTTGAGAAACAAAGCAATAGTAGCGGGGTACTATTCGAGTGTTACACGTGTACTAGTCATAATAACAGCATACCGGGGCTTGGGCTACTCGAATCGTCCAACAGCAACACCTACAATGCTTCAAATCTTCTCCATCGAGTTGGTCATTTTGACTACGAGTGGCAAGAAATAGGGAAAGACACTGTATACGGTGTGAGATCTTACTCTGATAGAGAGTATGACGAACACTTCGCAACCGGGCTCGGCACTGTGCTCCAGCAAGATGGAGAGTCATATTTTAACTCAAATGTTAGCATTGCATTCCAGGGAAAACTGCAGCCTGCCCATCTTGCAGCACGTCTCCCTATTCTCGCCATCTTAGGTGCTGACATGCAGCTGCCAAAGGTGACAAAAATCCCAGGCGCATCTGAGCGACTATTCATCGATGTCAGATTGAAAGTCAAACTCAAGAAACCAATTATGGTCCTATTGTGTATCTTTGGAGGTCAAATACTGGCTATTGGAGTTGTTCTTTTCTATTGTAGGAAGGTTTTCATAAGAGATCATACCAGCAGTCTTTCTATTGCCAGATTGCTGAAAACGACCATGGAAGACGTGGAAGGAATGAGTACATGTACGGGCGAGGAACTTGCCGAACATCTAGATAGCAAGGGTGTGATGATGAGATATGGAACACGGCGGAAGAGCGACAAGACGTTGGAGGTAGATCTCTGGGACGATGTCGAGGAAGATTTCCCAGATGCTATATATTCATAGGAGATGGTATTGGAGCCTGTGTTATCGGCACTCATAATTTGAATCCCGAGTTCAGTAGGCGAGTATTGGCAGCCTTTACACTATTCCGTGTTGCAGAGGTGTCACTCTATTTCATTCCAACGTAATCTTGGAAATGGCATCTTCACACACACACACACACACACACACACACACACACACACAAATGGACAGCGCTTGTCAGACGCCTTTGGTCATTTGCTTTGTTTTTAGACACTCCTTTTATCTATTCGGCATGATATGCTTGTTGTTTACACATCTGAATCGCTCGCCTATACAAGAGGCAGTGAACTAGTACAAGGATTGCTTGGACTTCCGTTGCTGTGAGTTGCCTTATTTCTATATATATATGATTTTGACCTCTCATTACAAATCGCGGAACATGACGGATCGCATGGGATTTTTCGTGAATTTCACGAATACCTGATGAAGAGTTACAGATGTTTCTACCTACAAATGCGGGTAAAGAGAAATCTTCCTTCCAAGATGATAAAAAAGACGTAACCATGATGCGTTGTGTGCAGACTGTAAACTGCGCTTGGCACACGACTAGCGCAACGTCACTTACCTATTAGACTGATACGTGTGCCGTCCTGTGACACTTACATTTGACTCATAGATATATTGCAAATAAGAAATCATTCTGACATCAAATCAGCAAAACATCTAAGTTTTCAGATACTCTTCTTCAGTAGTATAGTGAATACTGAGTCGGTTGTCAACTCTACGTGAACCTGTTTTGGGAATGCAGCCTGCCAAGTACCCTAAATTTCCTATTTCGGTGACCAGTTCTAGAGTATAGGAATATAAATAACAAGGCCACTACATGCAAAATTCAACGCTTTTTTTCGAAGTCAGATAAGCACATGCCCGTATGATGGAGGCCTATTCTCTTTTTATCTTCCCCCCTTCCTCTCTCTCGTTCCCTTTCTTTTTCTATCACGGTGCGGGTTCACATGAAGAAGGGACAGACACGAGTACAGATTCTATTGCTACAGACTGATCGGATGGAGTCCTACTATAGGTAGTGTAGAGTGGTTGAAAGGACATAGCTCAAAGAGTCACACCAGCGTCGCGGAGCTATTTTCTGTGAGATTCCATCGAGAAGTTGTCTGGAGGGTGTTTAGTTCGGTTCAAGAATACTGAACCCCTTCTATGTTAAAGGTCGAAAAAAACAAACGGAACTGTATTACTAGAGGCAGTAAGCTCGGGCATATACTTTCCAACCACATATCGTTTCCGGCCATCCCATTGTTAAGAATAAGATTCTTGAGTAAAAGCAATGTTAGACTTCGGTGCCAAGAGCTCTCAGGTTTAGTTTTCGCGGATGAAGCAACAGTGTGTATGAACAGGGTTCTGCAAGTAACTTTTATACTGTACTTGTACTCGTAACTTAAGTTGAACACATTGAAATACAAGGGCCCATTACTTATTGCTATATACTCAAGCTTTATGCAACATGCTCAGTTACTCAGTAGTGCCAAGGCATACTGATCAAATAGTAGGTCACGTGATTGCGGCACGGTTAGAAGGATTGCGGCGCAGCGTTTCAAGCTGCATCCTCTGAAATCCCTACTAGTCTGTGTTCGTGCATAACGTGTAAGCGTTTTTAAGGGTCTTGACAGGTGGTCATCCCCCGCAGCTGCTTGGCTTTGCCGCTGCACCCTCTTCAGCCCAATCGTTCATTCATTGTGTCAGCCTTCACACTCTCATCGCCGTTAGCTAGTAACTGCTCAGAATCAGATCGCTGCTATTTCCAGTATGGATCCGCTCAGTGTTGCGGCCAGCATCATCGCGATTCTTCAGCTTTCAGCTAAGGTGCTTAGCTACCTGAACAACGTCAAGGATGCCCCAAAGGACCGCGCGAAATGCGCAGTGGAGGTATCAAGTCTTCACAGCCTCCTCCTCAGTTTAAGATTTCATTTGGAAGAGGGAGATGCCAGCCAGTCATGTTACGTCGCTGTCCGAGAGCTCGCAGTCGAGAATGGACCGCTAGACGAGTTCAAGCAGGCGTTGGAGAAGCTACAAGCTAGGATGACTGACGGGGGTCGACTAAAGAAGGCTGGTGATGCGCTTATGTGGAAGTTCAAAAAGGAGGAGATTTCAGAGGTTTTAAATCGAATAGAGCGACTGAAGACACATATATTGGTCGCGTTGCATATGGATCATTTGTGAGTTCTTAGATTGACACGGCAGAGCAGTATAGCTTACATATACAAGCAAACTTTTGAGAGATCTTAAAGCTGACACCAACATCGTTCGGGAGCATGTATCTGTTATCGAGTCTGGGGTAGACACGATTCAACAGAACCAAGATTCTGCAAAGCACAGCAGGCTTCTGAAATGGATATCTGCCTCAGACTACCCCGCTCAGCAATCGAGTATCATCAAGCATAGGCAGGAAGGAACCGGACAGTGGTTTCTGAATACGCATGAACTAGCGCATTGGATCAATGAGAGCAAGGCTACGCTCTTCTGCCCAGGTATCCCCGGAGCTGGCAAGACTATGATCGCAGCTATTACGATTGATCATCTGCTAAATACAGTCCAGAACGGTTCATATGGGGTTGCTTATGTGTACTGCAACTACAAAGCTCGAGAGGAACAAGACGTTTCGAGCCTACTGGCAGCAATTCTCAAGCAACTAGTCCAGGGTCGATTATCGACGGTAGATCGCTTAGAACAATTGTATCTGAACCACGCCAACCGAGGAACTAAGCCATCCTTCGAAGAGATATATAGCGCGCTTCGAGACGTGGTTGCATCTTATAAATCTGTATATATAGTGATCGATGCACTGGATGAATGCCATGGAGGCACTCGTTGCCAGTTCCTGGCCAAACTCAGAGACCTCCAGGTAATACAGGATGTTCGCCTGATGGCCACCTCGCGACCTATGCCAGATATCGAGGACGCTTTTAGTACAGGGCCAAGTCTAGAGGTGCAGGCTAGCAGAGAGAAGTGCAGGAGAAGATAGCAGATGCAGCGGGTGGCATGTGAGTATCATATACAATCAAGGTAGTGATGCGCACTTACCCAGTTGTAGGTTTCTACTTGCTTTTCTGCACACAGATTCGCTGCGAAGCAGGATGACCGGTAAACAGGTAAAAAACATTTTGGACACACTCAAAAAAGGGGCAGCTGGACTTGACGACGCGTACAAAGAGGCTCTTCAGAGAATCGATAGTCAGTCAAAGGTTGACTGTGAATTGGCTAGAAAGGTCCTGTCGTGGATCACACTCGCCAAACGACGGCTCACTACCGCCGAGATCTGCTGCGCTCTAGCAGTAGAGCCTGGGGAAGACGAGATAGATCCAGAGAATATGCACACTCCGGAGGACCTGGTCTCTGTATGTGCTGGTCTTGTCGCTGTTGACCAAGAGAGCGATATCATTCGTCTCGTACATTACACTACACAGGAATACTTCGAGCGGACTGGAAATGTGTGGAACCCCGGAGGCCATGTGTATATCGCTACCACATGCCTTATGTATCTGTCGTTCAGCGCTTTCCAGAGTGGCAGCTGCCTTAGTGACGAAGAGTTTGAAGAAAGGTTGCAGGAAAATAGCTTCCTGGACTATGCGGCTAAGTATTGGGGATGCCATGCGAAAACCGTCGAAGTAGAGGTCGCCGCTCGTGCCTGTGAGCTCCTTCAAGGGAACTCTTTTTCATCAATTGAACAGGTTTTATTAGCCTCCGACTACAACTACGAAGGGTATAGCACAGGTTATTCTGTTCGTACACCCTTGCACTACACATCACAGTTTGGACTCCCTGGCATAACTGAGAAGGTGTTGGCTACTGTAGATGTGCCTATTGTAGAGGCGGTAAACGCTAAAGATAGCCTGGGATGCGCTCCTTTGACTTCTGCAGCAGAGAATGGCCAGCTTGAGATGGTGCAACTACTGCTTGACAAGGGCGCCGACGTCAACGCGCAGGGTGGAAAGTACTGCCACGCAGAGGATGGAGATTTCTACACCGCACTGCAGGCAGCCTCAGCAGGAGGCCACGAGCAGGTAGTCAAGATGTTGCTGGACAGGGGTGCTGAGGTTAACGCGCAGAGTGGAGAGTACGGCAACGCACTACCGGCAGCATCATACAGTGGCCGTGAGCAGATAGTCAAGATGCTACTCGATGCAGGCGCTGATATCAACGCGCAGGGTGAAGAGTATGGTAACGCGCTACAGGCAGCTTCAGCGGAAGGCCATGAGCAGGTAGTTAAGATACTGCTGAACGCGGGTGCTGATGCCAACGTGGGCGCCGACGTTAACGCACTATACCTAGCTTCAGCTGGAGGCCACAATCACGTGGTCAAGACGCTACTTGGCGCGGGCGTTGACGTTAACGCCCAGAGTATAGTCTACGATATAGCACTATACATAGCTTTAGATCGAGGCCACATGCAGGTGGTCAAGACGCTGCTGGACGCGGGCGCCGACGTCAACGTGGGCGCCGATGTTAGCGCACAGGATGGGTTCTATGTCAACGCACTATGCCTAGTTTCAGCTCAAGGCTATGAGCATGCAGTCATGATGCTGCTTGATAGAGTCGCTGATATGAGCCGGGAAGCTGATCCTGTGTTAAGACCAGACTAGCTTTTCTCAGGCACCTAGAAAGCATTCTTAGCCTACGTAGGAGGAAGCATAGGACACTAAGGCACGGTGAATCTAGAAGGGATCAAGCCCAGAAGGCTTCATTAACTCTCACCTCTCTCCTCTTCCGCTCCTATCTCCTTTCTATCGCTCGTTTGTTTAACTTTGTTCTTTGCTAATTACTCTTTTCTATTTGCTTTGATCTTTAATCCCTAACCCCTGTTTACAGTTAAAACAAGCTGCTGGCTTAATAAACTGTTTCTCTCATCAACATTTGGTCTAGTAAGCCGATTGTTTGAACTAATGCGTCCTGTCTCTTCCCTATCATTGATTTTGTATCTCGTATTTTTTGTCTTTTAAATATTTTTGACATATAGTGAGTTTGCTTCATTGGTAGGACACTATCAATTTTAAATGTTAAAATATATAACTATTGTATGCGACTGTTATGGGGTAGGCAAAGCCCACCCGCTTTAGCCTCGGGACCAGCCTTAATGATATTAGCGATGGAAAGGAAGTCTATCACGTACGTGTTAGTAGGCACGTGATGGATGGCTGGGACGGTTTACCGCCCGGTGGTAGACGGGCTGGGCACTATGCCGCTAGCAGGGTTAGCTATTATTATCTAGTAGCACATGCCCAGAACTCTATGGG